TGGGGCTAAACCCAGTGGAGATTGAGCAAGAATGCTTTAGCCACATACACTCATGTCGTGAGTGGAGAATCTGGCCATTGCCACAACTCCAATAGTTGTGACTTAATTTTACAAAAAAAAAAAAAAAAATTTACTAGACCAAGAATCAATAACTTACTATTTAATCGACAGTTTTATCAATTACAACTTTAATTTAAGTCTTAGAGTGCTACCAATGGGTATTTTCTCAACATGTGTTTCATATCATTATATATATGTGCGAATTTACTAGATGTATTTTTTGTATACAGTTGTAAATATCATATAAATAAATAAATTTAAGTCTAGTGATGCTATTACATATCGCTTATTGGGTGAAAACAATTGTGAAACTTCAAATCACACAATCACAATTTTATAGAAGATGTAAAATAATTAGAATTATTACTTTATACATTAAACAATTATAAAAAAAATCGATTGTACAAGTGTAAAATTCCTCTATTCATTCAAATATTGCTTAATATGATCTCGATTCGATTAAACGCCTCATTATAGCAATTATACATTATGAAACTTGTTTTTCAGTTGTATTGTTGTTAATGATATCTGATATGTTTCTTATTTAGGAATTTTTTCTGTTTTTAGTTGAGAAAAAAAAATCTATTTCTTTCAGTATAGCCTCCGTGAGTTTCCAATACCACAGACCCGTATGTTCCGAATAACAATGGCCGTGGTTTCTCCTGATCCTTGATCAATCAGTTTTTTTCAAGACCTGAGGGCATCGTTAAAAATATATTATCATCCCTTATAGAACCAGGTGATTGCGCACCTGGCGTGCCTTCGGATCACGCACCGCGCCACAGACCGCGCGAACACACCAAGCATTGAACCTCGGCGGACATAGCCGCACGTAGCCCTCAACCTCTTCTTACAATTATATTACATCAACCGCCGCCTCTCTTTAATACGAGTCCTCAAGGTCTCAGTGAGTGTGTACCCTTCCAAGGAGGCACGAACATCCATCTCCGAGAAATTATTGTGCAGTACCGTCATCATCAGTTAATTCATTACAGAAGTCACTGACTCCTAGGAGATTGTAAAAGTTACTTTGGGAGGCCATTTCTAAAACAATCAGGAGTCCGCTTTAGTTTCTGAAGAAATTAGTCCTCTCTATCAACTGTACCGTTTTCATGACGGGATATTTTGCAATTGTGATACTACATTATTATTAAATTCCGCGAAACAACCAAGTCTGGGCAATATTGAATAAGAAACAGAGTTCCAACCTCAATATATTATTTATTTCGGTCATTCATGAACTAGAACTATAAGTTTAAAAAAAATTATCAGTTGAGACCATGCCGCGATCGTACAATCGGTGAGATAAATAATATTTCCACACATAAAATGTGTTGGTATAACTGGGTTGTCAGGAAGAAAAGGTTACATACAGAAATTTTATTTTCGGAACAAGTAAAAAGTAGAAGAGAGTTGTAAAGAGATAATAATACTTATTTCGAAATTTATCACATAAAATGTGACTTAGATTTATGACATAGAATGTGACACACGTTAGCCCGTTCGGCCACACATACATACTACTGTTGACTTTCATTAGAGGTGGGGGTTAAAGAAGGGAGAGCGAAATTCAGTTTATCTTCATGACAAATACCGTAGAACCGATCCTGAAATTTGTAACTATTCTTAAATTACGGATTGATGATAGAGTAACCGGAGAATAGAAATATACCTAATAGAAAACTATTTATTAATCTATTTTTAAAAATTAATTAAGTTATATTAAATTTGAGAATAATTCAGCGTTCTTCCTAATTAATTCATTAGATAAGTTACATATTTTACACTGAGCTTTTTTTTTTTATGTTTAAAAATCAATGTACGATCAATGTTCAGTTGTGCTATCACCTGACACACACTTTATGTTTAAAGTATATCTTGAAAAAGTTTGGATTCCTGTAACATTTACCGTCTTATTTTTTCTCAGTTTTATGTAAAATTCTTGATAATTGTTAGGTATAGTTTGTTTATGTGGAACAGATCTACAAGATCATTGCAGAATTGACAAATTAAGTTTCAATAAATACAATGGTACTAATAATTATCCTAGGGCACTTAAGATATTTATTGAGAAAACAAAATTGTGCTCAAATAGACTGCTTAGAAATAATATATGTCTAAAAGTATTGAGAGGTCAATATTACCAAAATGTGGTCGTTTGTCACTCTGAAGCAACGGGCCACTCTTTTAACCTCTACTGATCAGTATTTAAATGTTTTTAAAATATATGAAACATGCTATATTTCTAGCCATATATATTTATAGAATAATTTGTTGTGCTGTACCTGATTTTTGTCTTAATTTATGAATTGGCTTTAGTTTGTCTGAATAATCAGATTTGGCCTTAACTTTGTAAATAATTGTATATAAAAATAATACATGTAAATAGTAAGTACATAATAAATAAAAAATAAATAAAAATATTCAAACAGGAAAAAAAAATGTTTTTTTTTTCTAGTGAGTCTCATGCACCACTACTAAGTCTTATTATTTGTATAATTTTTCATTACTAAAAACATTTACGTATATTTTTATTACGCATTAAGGTATATCTTTTTTATTCGCTACATAAATGAAAATTCTTACAGGATTAAATCTTGTTATTCTATTAAGATATTAAACGTTTTCATAATTAAAAAAGTATGAATGATTAATCATCTAAATAATAAATCATCAACCAACTTACATTTCATTTTATCTTGGGCCATTTTAGTCAAATTATTGCGTAAACACCTTTGATATCTTTGTCCATTCTAGCCTTCATAAAGAAAATATTCCATTATTTCATCAAAAACAGGGCCTTCAAAGTTACTATAGATGTAATGGTCTCAAGAAGAAATATCAGTTCTAATATAAAACTTGTAGAGACAAGGAATCCTTTTAATATTAGATTCCACAGAAAATTTGAAGCGTACTTTGCACAAACATAATTTTGCGACCACTGAGTACTATTATTTTTAATGTAGGTCAATATATCTCTCGAATCAGAATTCGTTATTTCTTCATGAGATTCGGTTTCTTTCGACACAATTTCGTTTCTCAAAATCCTTCGCTGCTGAGAGGTGAAAAAGAAGCTTATACTGCATGTAACAGGTTCTAAGCAGGGATACTCAGTAGAATAGACACCTATACTGTTGAAATATTCAAAACAAACATACCTTTGTTACCAACAAAGATGCACAATTTGATGCTCTTCAACTTTGATTCAATGGTTTTTTCCTCTGAGCGAACTCATTTCCAAGACACACGACCATTTATAGTAATTTGTCTTAGTTTTTTACAAATTTCTGTAAAAAATCAGCGTTGGTTGACCGTGCCATACCACTTAAACAAAGTATTAAGTTTAAACAAAATTTAACTTTCTTTAATTTTCCAAAGAGTACAGCTTTCGCTCCGATGCATAGTTTAGGGGTTATATGCGAAAAAACAAAAAAAAAAGGTTTGAAAAATTCTCTTTTTTGGCTTTAAAAAGTTTGACCCTTAGTGGTCCGCATCAGAAATTTGATTTTCACAAATCTAAACCTACATATACAAGTTAAAAAATAAAAAATTTTCCTACATTTTTCGCAATGAACGTTTCGATCATCAAGTTACTGACCTAGTATTCTTTAAATTAGCCGCCATTTTTTAAAACAGCGGCTCTGGAATGGCAGACAAGGTACAGTTTACTTAAAATAGCATACTATTTCGTAATTTACATTCAAACCTTTACCTACGATCAGGTCAATTTTTGAGATCTGGTTCCTGTCTTTGGACCAGTATCTGAACATTGTGGGTTCGGTTCCCACCTGGGAAGTTTAATTTTCATTTCTCGGCGGGTCCGGTAAAATTGACATTCTCATTTCGGTAAGTACGTAGCAGCAACATCAACATAGCCGCCAGAAGTTGGCAAAAACGACTATGTAGCCCAATTGCCGGAATAGCTCCCCCTCTCCCTCCAGTAACAGTACCAATACTAAACTATTACAGTCATTTCTTTACTCATAGCTTATTTAGGAACAAAGTTAATACCCAAACCTAATAAAACAAAACAACAAAAATAATCAATCAAATGATTATTATAAATTATGTCGAAATCTTTGACTGAACTTATTGGTTTTAATAACAGCTAACGTAACACACGGGCGGATCTATGAGGGAGGGATGCTTTCGGGCTGAAGCCTCCCCCCTCCCCAAATGGTAAAATATAACCATGTTTTATGGAAAAAAATTATCTCTTAAAGTATTATTGTTCGCGTAATTACATTTAAAAGGACTTAAGGAATCACTTAAACACCATTTCATATAGATAGTTAGTTTCTTTCTTTTTTTACAAAGCAATTATCGTCATTTTTATGAAACAAAAAAAAAAGGTTCGGACTGAAGCCTCCCCCCAATTTTAAATCTTGGATCTGCTAGTGACGTAACAAACAAACTTAATCATGATTTATTTTCTGTGAGAGTATAGACAGCGTCAGAATAAATTCAGCAGAAGTTCTTGGTTACCGCTTTACGGAAGTTCATTTCTATTAGTTTGAATATTTTATCTTTTAGAAAGATAATTCTTAACAAGAGATCGTTCCACAATATAGAACTACAGTAAGTGAATAATAATAATAACTATAATATTTCGATGCAAAAAGTTATTATTATATTTAAAAAAAAAAAGGAATTTCTCCAGAAGGGCGACATAAAATCGCGGCCAACATATCAGGAGATGACGATAGATTTTAACCTGTCGTATCCTAGCCCCAGCCTAAACGTTAAACCGTTATAGAGACTTGAGGACAGCCTGAAGGAAAAAATGGTTGAAAAAGCGGATGGTTGTGTTAATAAGAAAGCACTTATGCACAGAGAAAAGGCTTATAAAAAGCTGACTCGGAGGCACGAGCAGACCTAATCTATTGAGGAGGTGGCCACTCACCCTAACCAATATTTAGCCTTACAATGGAGTTGCGATAATGAGCCCTCTTTGTGTTCACTTAGCCTTTGTGTCTAATATATTTACATCCTTCGTCTCCTTCAACCTACAGTTTTTGGCCAATGGCGTTGTAACTTCCACCAAGGACGGGCAAATCAAGTGAGTGGAAAACTCGTATCTCTCAGCGAACAGAACTTGATGGACTGCTCCACATCAGAGGGGAACGAATCCTGTGAGGGTGGCTTGATGGATTATGCTTTTGAATATGTTAAGAAAAATAATGGAATTGACACTGAAAAATCTTACCCTTATAAAACCGAATACTTTTTTCAATTTAGCTTATTAATTTTTGAGTAGTATATATAAAGTTAACTTTATGATTCTCTAGGATAGCTCGAAGTGCAAATTTAAAAAGGCGAATGTTGGAGCCACGATCACTGGATACAAAGATATTCAGAGTGGTAGTGAGTCAGCTCTACAATCAACAGTGGTCAATATTGGACCTATATCTGTGGCAATTGATGTGAGTGACGATTCTTTCCAGCTTTACGATTCAGGTAAAAATAGAATTATACTTTCTTGTAAGCTGAAAAAGTTAGATAAATAAACTGTTCATAATTATGATATTTTATTATTACTCTTTAACAGGGGTCTGCTATGAGGAAGATTGCAGCTCTGATGAAATGAAGAATCTTTTACTTCATCTTTAAGTTTTACTAAGCTTACCACAATTTAATTAACTTACAGTGATGTTTGGTATGGATAATGATAGTAAAAAAACTAGAGTGTGTTCTTAAGACCACACGATAGGAGGGAAAACATAGACAATATAGGTATATCATTCCTTGATATATTATGATCCTCAATGTACTCTAAAATTTTTCTTGGAATTATCCTTTCAATTTTTTTCTAGATTTGGCAATATTAGCCAAACCCTGATGATTTTACGAATATTATAATAATCGATGTAGCACGATTCTCCTATTGCACCATTTGCCGATCCGTCCGATACATAGACAATTAGTAATCCAATATGAATATTATTTTAAAAGGCAATCCATCCGTTTCAATTGTCGACATTTAGTTAGCTTTTGCTTCATGAAGGTTTCTTGCTCACCATTATAACAACCCGTATAATATCTACCCAATAAATATCTCAATAATATATATCCATACAAACATCTTTCACAAGAGGCGAACATTATACGCAGAGGCGAATCTACAGAGAGAGAGATGGGTTTCTGGCAGAAGCCGTCCTTCCTCCCCAAAATGGTAAAATATAACCATGTTTTATGAAAAAATATTTTTTAAAAGTATTATTGTTCATCTGGCTAAATTTAATTGGACCTCAAGAATTAATTAAACACCATTTCATGTAGGTAGTTAGTTTCTTTTTTTTTCTCCAAAGTAATTATCGTAATATATAAAAAAAAGCCTTCGGGCTTATGCCTCTTCTCCCCCCCCAAAAAAAGTTAATCCTGGATCCGTTAGTGTTTATACCGCTATTTAAAAAAACATGTATTTTTTTAATTCTCTATGGTATTTAAATTTTAGTGTAAATGTTCAAAACAGTCGTAATTATTTGGTCTTTTTCCCTCTAGGACTCTAAATCGGCATCACGTCAAAATATGATTTTGAATCATAGGTCATTATAAAGAGGATGAATTGCTTAAAAAAAATTCTCTCGCTTACAATATGGAGGTCCGAATTTTAATTGTCACCAAGACAGTATCTACCATAAATTTTGTTTGGGCAGATGAATAGTATTTAATTGTAGGGACAACAAATTAAAATCCTCAAAAGCCACACCTCTAACAAAAACTCAATTCACATTCAAATTTTTAATTCTTTCAGGGGTTATTATTAAGGGGAATATTTGAGGGGAGTACATTTTTGAAATGGCAGAAATTACACTTCTGCCATACATACATTGAAGAAATGGCAGAAGTGCAGGGGGGGGAGAGGGGGAAGTACAGACCTCAAAAAGGCGCTTCTATAACACAAATCAATTTTTAATCATCTAACTTCATTTGGAGAACAGTTTTTAAATATAGTAGTGCGGTGTACCACGTACTCACATATTAAGAGTATTAGTAGGTATTTCATATATTGGTTTTAGTGAATGTATAACTTCTATTGTAGACGGAACAATACATTTATTTACAGCAATTTCCATATATTTTTTTCCATCCATCTAATCCGAGAACTTTATGCATTTTTAATCTCTGATCATTAATTTCTACGACTTTAGGTTTTAGACATTAATTTTTCGAGAAACTTAATTAAATAATTAAATTTTTATAGGTTGTTAATAATTGATATATCACTAGGTATGTCACAAAATATATCTACTATCCTGATACATTTACATACTCATATATCACCCTGAAGAACAGATCTGGAGATGCAGGTGTCCTGCTGATAATGACAAATTGTTTCTTTACCTACAGTTAAACCAAGAGATAATGTAATTAACATCCAAGTTTAACCAACAGATTTATCCCTTAAGCCAAGGAGGGAAATGTTACCAACTTTAATAACCAAGAAAGGCTATAGACTTCAAAGTTTTCATTAATGATACAATTAAAACCAAATTTTCTGTCTTTAACCAGATTCAAACCCAAATCGTTCAGTTCAGCGTCCAATGACTTCTTACTTCATATATCCCATTATTATGAATGATGGTACCACTCAACTATTAAAAAATTGTATTGAATATTATACGAATTTCTATTCTAAATCCCTCCAAAACGATTTTGGTTAATTTAATAATTAAACTTTTTCCATGCAATTGTTCATAATGAATCGAGTCGTTGACTTAGTCTTTAAAGCAAGAACTAGTTGTTGGTCTGGGTGAGGAGCAAATCACTAGAAAAGTAATAAACATAAAACAATGGATAAAGTATAGATTTAGGTTTTGGTGAGATTTAATGGAATAGATGGATATACAGAAAGTTAGGTTCTTGGTGTGATTTAGTTTATATTCGGTTAACAGTAGTTCATATTTATTTGGTATTAATGTATATATATTTTTTTCTAGATTAAGTGGACTGAATTCTTCATTCTTTCTCAGATATTGTTTTACTTCAAGTAAAATTTGGTGGATCATATTTTTTGATTTGTTTGCAATAAAAATAAATTTATAATGAAATAAATAAAAATATATCTTCTGACTAACATATTTAGTTCTAAGTTTATATAGAGTCTTCAAATTTATCTAAAACACCTCATACCAAATTGCATCTAATTTTTAGGTATTTAAATGCATTAAACAATTTTTGAGTTTAAGACAAGATTGAACGAAATTTTAATTATGTAATTCTAATTAAGAATAGAGACTACTGAAAAACAGATGTCACTAACCATATAACATTTATTATGTGCACCACAGCATATAATATAGTGATATGCTCAGTAGCGGATTCAAGATTTAATTTTGGGGGACTTCAACCCGAAATCGTTTATATATACATATATATATATATATATATATATATATATATATATATATATATATGTATGTATATATTTATATTATCTATATAATATATTATATATAATATATATAATATATATTATTTATATATATATAATTATCTATATATATATATTATATATATATATAATTTAGTTAGTTTGTTTATATACATATATATATATAGATAGATAATTACTTGGGAAGAAAAACAAACAAACTGCTGGTTAATGTAACAAATGCTGTTTAAGTGATTCTTGAAGTCCTATTAAAAATTCAATTACACAAACAATAATACTTTAAAAGATAATTTCTTTCATTAGACATGGTTAAATTTAGTAGCAGTACAAGTATTATTGTTATTGTTTAAAATTTAGCTTAGCTCACTCACAATAACAAAAAATGAAAAAAAAATTTCCATTAGGGAGGCTTCAGACCAAAAGCATTTTCTTCCCATTTCCCCATAGATCCACCTGTGGATATGTTACTAATTTAAAAGTGTTGCTCCACTTTGCTAGCTGGGTACAAGATCTGATGATCACACTATAAATAGAATTCGAAGACTAGTCAAGTATTGTATATCTTCATTAAGACTTTGAGTCCAGAATTTCCTAAACATATCATACCAGCTACATTGTTTTGAATATTTATATATATGCAATGAAAGGAACCAATTTATTATTGACATAATTTTATTTTTAAATAAACCAACTGATTTTGGTTCTATTGAACTGATCATCATTCATGTTTTTCAGGTTATGAAAATTCAGTTTATTTAGATTATTCAATTCATACAATTCAATATTATTAGATTCTTGATTTAATATATATGGTCACAAATACGGTCTTCTCTTACAGAAATTTAGAAGATTAAATACATGCTTATAGGTACTTAGCTATGATTATAAAGCCAGTTGTGATATAAGGCTGCGAGACCTAGAAAGATAGGTTGATAATTGGAAAGAAATAGCCCAAGATAGACAGAGATGGAGGAGGGTGGTTAAGGCAGCAAAAGATCTAAAAGGCGCGTAATAAATACTCCTCCCCCCTCCCAAAAAAGGAAATGAAAGACACCTAGTCAGGGAGGGAGAGGAGAGAAGGTTTCATAGTCACCTTTCTCAAATATTAATGGGTTAGATTCTTTGAATAATAATCAAAAGCAAGAAACAATTATTAGGACAGTGAAACTATTGGACTCCTCCAAATTAAAATCCTGGCTAAGGGCCTGTAAGCTCTTCACAGTTGTGCATTCTTAAAGAAAATATACGAATAAACACATATACATATCATAGAATATACATCAAAGTATAATCACATTGTTTGAAATTTATTTATTTGTTGGTGCTACAGTCCTACAAGAACCAGGACCTCTCTTGCTATTCTTCTAAACTCTTCCCTATCTCGGGTGTGCATTCTCCATCTCCGGATTTCCATTGTTTTCAGGATGTCCTCCACCTCGTCCAACCATTTCAGGCGAGGTCTTCCTCTGCTGCGTTGTCCACCAGGTCGATCATCCAGCAGGCATTTGGAAATGAAATCCCTGGTCATATGTACTACATGGCCCAACCATCTGATATGGTTACTTCTTACAATAGAGATCAAATCCATCCTTGCATAGATCTCGTGCAGCTCTTTATTGCTAGAAATTTTCCATTGTTTGATATTAAATAATAAAAAAAGATAATTGGATCAAATATAAAACTCCTACCCAAACTACATAAGTTATGTGATGTGATTTTACTCATTATTTCTTAATTTATTTTTGCTTTTTCAAAGCGTTGGTATACATAGTTTCTTTAATCTTGTCAATTGTAAATTAAACTAACAGATATTAATTTAAAAATAATTATCATGATTAAAATGAATCTTGAAAACTATATCAGAATTACAATTAAGATACATAAGTTGCTAACATATTCTGCATCATTTGAAGAGACACGAATCCTTTATACTGAAGAAACTATTGACCAGAATTCAGTCATGATTTAATATTATAACATAAAATTTTTTTTTAATAAATAAACTTCATTGAGAGTTAAGTAATGAGCATAATTTTTATAAATCAGTTTATAATAGAAGAAATAAGTGGACCTTTAGGTGAAGCATTGAAGATAACTGGTAGGAGTGATCACCAAATGAAATTTAGAATTCTATATCTGTTAATGAGGATACAAGTAAATTGAAAATGTACTATAAACCCTTCTCAAGACAATACCTGAAACTAGAATATACATG